GTAGATGTAAGGTGTGACGAGATCAAGAAAGGGGGCCACTCCAGGAAAATATCTATTCCCTTGGACAGATCAACTCACCACATATAGGACACATACTCTAATTGAGCAACACACAGCTATACAAGCTCCATATGCTCTCTATGCAGCCCAACCAAGAGGATACCTATAAAGGCACCTATGGTTAGAGAGGACATCAATCATTAGCGACGACATAAGGGCATGTGAGCTTCTGGCCACCATGAGACATCGAGTAATATGGCTGACGCATTCATCATCATGACTTTCTAAAACTCTCTCTCTGTATAAAAGGGCAACAACCATAGGAGAAAAGAGAGGGGGAGACCATGTAAGAGATACAAAAGAGATACACGAGAGAGAGAGAGAGAGAGAGAGAGAGAGAGGGGGGGGGGGGGGGAGATAACAAAGTATCCCTCTACTCCCAACCTTCATGACCAATTAGAAGGATTTTTCCAATCACCAGAAAAATCCATTCTTTGTATTCCCAACACCACACAAAACAATAAAATAATAGTGGATGTAGACCTTATTCGTTCTCATGACCGAATCAATTTAAAAACGTCTAGTTTATCTGTCATTTACTAGGAGGTTTATCACCACCTTGAGCTTTGCCGTATGCGACAAGGGTTCCTAACACTGATTCCCAAGAATCACGTACCCATCTTACTCAGTTCTCCTAAGAGTCAACTGAGTACCTCAGGTTGGTGCATGTTGATGCCTCAGTGATTTAGCCATTACGAAAATTCGCATCAACACATGACATCCAAATAACAAATTTTATAATCATATTTATATTTTATATCTCACATTCATGTGGGGTGGTTTATTAAATGTGCTTATGTCGAGTCCAAGACTCTATGTTTGAGAGTTTGATGATCATTAATTTTAGAAGCTATGAAATATTGGTAAAAAAAAAAAAAAAAATTGTGAATGTATTTAGAAATTCCCTACCATTAAATTTTAGGAATTAAAAATAATGAGAGATGGACATTTTGGTTAATTGGTGACAAAAACTTTTATCAAATTTTTCTAGTGAAGCTCATGAGCTAGATCCATTGTGTTTTCATTTATTGTTGCCAACATATCTTGGATATGATGTAAATGACCATAATGTCCCTTGAATATTTGTTTGACAATCTAATGGTAAAGGTGCCTTTTGGGCATTCTCACAATGTTACAAAATATTTTTGGCAACCTAATTCCATGTATAACTTTCTCATTTATTTTATTTTATAAAGTTTTTGGACATGAAATGATAGTAATGTCCCTTGACAATTTGATTAGCAATCAATTGGTGAAGGTATTAGGGTAATAAACCAATTGTTAAGGAAAAGGGTCTTAAGGTAATTGTAAATCTGGACACTCTTTTATGATTTTCTTTTTACCATTGTTTCCAAGTCTTAAATTAAAATAGTATATGTTGATTAGTTAATGGGTGAGCACGGGTAAAGGGTAGACCTGGAACCGGTGGGTACCCATGTAAGATCCTATGCTATTAGAGGTAGTGTGGAATTGTTATCTTTTAAAGCTTTACAACACTTGTAGCTTTGTTTGGAGTTGATAGATATTCAAAAACCATGAAAATCCTCTCAAAGCAAGCCCACACCAAGATGAAGAAGAAGAGAGCCAAATTTTAGAGCTTGGGTGAGATATTTTGCAATTGAAAAATTAGGTTAAAATTAGGGATTATCATGTATATATATACAAGGACTTTTTTGCAAAAATTTGAAATTGTTGTCATGTTCTTTGAATTAATATGAATACTATATTAATCCTTGATACAAATTCAATAATACTTTCCAGTCCATGAATTTATTTCAATTTAATATTAACTATGAATATTAAATCATTATTGATCCTAAGTCCTTGAAACAATTTCAATTTAATATTAAATCCTTGATTTAAACAAATTTATAATCAAGGTATATAAAATAATCCCATTTAATATTTAACCCATTATTGAATCCAATTCAATAATATATTAGTCCATTATTGAATCTAATCCAATAGTGACCAAATTACCTTGTTACCTTTGGTAAGTGCTAGCTTTCCATGAATAATCATTTCTCACCAATACATTAATTCGGATGCACATGTTTACTTCCGAACATCGTTAACTTTTAATGATATGTATTAGTCTCTCTTCTCATACTTGATTTTTATGTGTGACCACTTAAGTTCATTGTAACCTAACCGTGGGCCCAAAACTGTATTCCGATATGTTTGTCATAACTCTTTATAATTGAAACTCTCACCAATCATGGTAAACATCTAGCAATGCTCCATAACCCCTAAGCCATAATGAATATAAACTTCAATGAACCTTTTTTCGATCATACGTTGCGTGTAGTAAAATCCCTCTGTTGTTTAATCCCGATTAAGAATGGGTTCATGGTATGTCAAAACCCTTAACTAAATCTTTAATCAAATCGTCAATCAATACAATGCAACTCGCCACCATGAAACTCTTTTCATATGACAGTTTTCATACTCTGGCCAAAGATTTTCTTTTTCTAATGTTTATTGACATTCGTCTGAGAACTCGAGACCAAACTATTTTGAGTCAACGGGTCCCACCTTGACCATCACTTGTCATCACACATGAATAACATATGACCAAACCGGCTTCTTACACAAGACATGACTAGTCTCGTGTTTATACACCATATGAACCATATGCATTCTATGTCGAATCCAACCATGATGTCTCAAGTCTAAGGATCAGTGGTACACTAGTATGACCTTACATTGTATCATTGGCCATATTCTAAATGTCCATGAGATTTATTGTAATCGGTCATATTCAATAAACAGTTTACTAACCGTTTATTCATGCTAATGCCCTAGTAACATAACTCTTATAATCACCCACACTAATACCATCACATGATATTCAATGGAGACATTTAGCATGCCTACTGTGCAATGTTATTGCCCAATTAACGTTACTTATGTAGGGAATGCTTCGATGATTTGAGGTTTTAAAGATCTGTATCATCTGGATATTTCACATGTATTATAAATAATATAAATGAAGTAGTAAACATACATATGAAATCAGAACACTTTCTTCTATTCTCAAAAAGAATATTTACAAGATATATATAATACCTTGAAACTGACAACACAATTGGTTCCTAGGGCATATACTAACAACCCAGACCATCGGTTTCGGGTAGGAACCGGAACCGGCCCTCACAAGGTAGGTTCTGGTTCTAGAAAAGTGGAACTGGGAATTCTCGAGTCTAATTCTGGCTCCAGTTCCTATAGTGCTGGAACCAGGAATGGGAACTAGAACCTACATTCGGGTACCCTTCTAGAAACTAGTTTAGGAACTGAGGGCGTATCTGTGAATTTTGTGAACTGTAGGGTGATTTCAAAAATTTCAGGTGTATTTGTCATTTTTTTAAAATTAATAAGGGGTAATTACAATTTTATAGGGTACTTGGAAAGGGAACCAGAACCGGCATTTCAGGTTTCGGTTCTAGGAACAAAAGTGGTTTCAGTTCCGGTTCCTTTTACTAGAAACCAGTCTGTTCCATTTTCGGTTCTTAGAAATTTCGACGAGTACTCGGAACCACTCACCCCTAGTTATTAATCATAACAATTTTTTTTTTCTTTTAATATTATTATTGTTGATCTCAATTGTTTTTTTGGCAATTATTTACTTTTGTATTTCTAATTAGAAAAAAAAAAACTGAATTTCAATGGAATTTGATGTCATAAAAATGTAAATTATACGCGTGTGAAAATCATGAATGAAATTTTGTTGAGAAACTATTTCGTTCCTTCCCATTAACCTCTTTAAAATATCTATTTAGAAAATTTAAATTATCTTTAATGGCACTTTACAATATGTTTTTGAGGAAATAAACTAAAAAATTGAATTTTGTATTTTCAAAATTTTGGAACAGATTTGGTATCATTTAAAAAAACAAATATTTAATCTTCTTTACATAATAATTTAATTCTAAAATTTACTTTAAAAAAGTTACAAAATACGGTAGAATAGAAAACAAAACATTCATAATATTCAAATTTTAACTTTTGGAAAGGCAGTCTCCTATTTACAATGAAATTAATGGTTTTATTGGCTATTAGTTGGCACTAATAAAGTCATAAAATTAAACGTAATGTTCTCTCTTGTGTTTTTTTGCTTTGGCTTTGGCTTTAGCTTTTTTTCTTTATTTGATTATTCTTCTTTTGTATTAAAAAGAAACAAAAGCAAAAACCATTGACCATATTAATTGTATAAAAGTTTGTAAAATGGGGGCAAAGATATTATAGGATAAACATATGTATCGGTATCACGTAACCATCAAAGCTTTCGCAGTAAATAATGTCTTGATTACTAATAAGGAATTATAAGACTTAAATGGGATTAATGTTTGATTATTACCAAAGCAAAACATTGTGCTGATAGTTGCTTTTCTCTTTCTATCATTACGCTAAGTATTTATTACCTTTCCTTTCAGCTTAGGATTTCCATCATTATTAAGTGAAGTATCTTTTTGATATTTTTAGTTTGTCTATAAACCTGAGTAACATGGTCTTACAATCAATTTTTACAGCTACCTTTTTAATTTAATCCTCTTAAAATCAATTTGTATTATAGCAACCAAGAACAAATGGCAGAAGGAATTCTATTTAACATTGCGGGGAAAATCTTGGAAGGGTTGGGGTCCTTGGCTGTCCGAGAAGGAAATTTGGCATGTGGTGTTAAACATGAGATTAAAAAACTTGAGAGCATTGTCAACACTATCAAAATGGTACTTCTCGATGATGAGGAGCAGCACAGCAAAATGAATCGAGAGGTAAAAAATTGGATCCAAAGGCTCAAAGATGAATTTTATGATGCAGATAACTTGCTAGATGATTTCTCTACTCAACTTTGATGGAGAGAGGTATTGACTCAAAATAAAATGGCCAAAGAGGTACGCATCTTTTTCTCCAAATCCAATCAAATTGCATATAGTCTTAGAATGGCTCATAAGATTAAGACTATTAGAGAGAAACTAGATGAGATTAAAAAAGATAGGCAATTCCACCTTTCTGAGTGTCATGCTGAAAAAGGAGTCATGAATACAGAAAGGGAAACACATTCTTTCGTGCATGCAGAAAAGGTTATTGGAAGAGATGATGATAAAAATAATGTTATAAGACTTTTATTGGACTCAAATGATGATGATAATGTTTCAATCATTACCATAGTTGGACTTGGTGGACTAGGCAAAACCACACTTACTCAGCTTGTCTATAATGATAAGACCACCATAAACTATTTTCAGTTAAAGATGTGGATGTGTGTCTCCGATGATTTTAATGTGAAGATAATTGTAGAAAATGTAATAAAATCTGCAACTCGTGAAGAACTTCAAAAACTTCATTTGAACGAATTGCAGGAATTGCTCAGAAAGGAAATTGATGGGAAAAGATTTCTACTAGTTTTGGATGATGTTTGGAATGAGAATCATAATAAATGGATTGAGTTGATGAATCTATTAATGAATGGTTCAAAAGGAAGTAAGATACTAGTTACTACACGTAGTGAAGTAGTTGCTAAGATTACCAGCAAACTTGAATCTTATGTCTATCCCTTGAGAGGACTAGATGGAAAAAAGTCTTGGTCTTTATTTACACAAAAAGCCTTTGAACATGGGATAGAACCAAAAGATTCAAAACTAATAGAGTTTGGAAAGGGGATTGTAGCAAAGTGTGGCGGAGTTCCTCTTGTCATAATGACGATAGGACAATTACTTTATGGTAATAACAAGGAAGATGATTGGTTGAATTTTAAGGATAATGAAATGTCAAAGGTGATTAAAGAAGAAAGTGATATTTTACCATTACTCAAACTTAGCTATGATCATCTCCCTTCGAACTTGAAACAATGCTTTGCTTATTGGGCATTGTTTCCTAAGGACTATAAGATTAAGAAACAAAAATTAACTCATCTTTGGATGGCTCAAGGGTTTATTCAGGTATCAAATAAAGAATGTTCAGAAGATGTTGGTAATAAGTATTTTATGGCTTTAATTTTCAGATCAATTTTCCAAGATCCACAATATGATAGATGGGGCAACGTAACCGCATGTAAGATGCATGATCTTATGCATGACCTTGCACAATCAGTTGCAGGAACTGAATGCACCATGCAAACTTTTGATAAGGTTGAAAGTGCGAATGTAAGATGTTGTCATTTATCACTTGATTGTGGTGAAGTAAAACGATCATGGAAATTTCCTATTGGATTATATAGTGCCAAAAATATAAGAACTTTACTTTTATTTTATTGATTAAACTGGGGCGTCAACTTGGATGGTGGTGATGAAATTTTAACAAGCTACAAGTACTTACGAGCATTGGATTTTGGAGAGTTAAGGTTTCAGAAATTGTTGAGTTCAAATGGTGAACTTCTAAGTTTAATTGGTGAATTGAAGCATTTGCGGTATCTCAATTTTTCTTGTGTGGATATTAAAATACTCTCTAATTCACTGTCGAGACTATTAAATTTGGAAACATTAGATCTCTCTTTCTGTAGCGAACTTAAGGAACCACCAAGAGATATTAAAAAAATAGTGAACCTTAGACATCTTATAAATAAAAAATGTGATTCTTTAGTTGGAATGCCATATGGACCAGGGCGTTTGACTAATCTTCAGACTTTACCACTATTTGTAGTAAGTCTGGGAACTATGCAAGCCAAGAGAAAAATCAAACATAGTGGGATAAAGGAATTAAATGGGTTGAAGAACTTGAGACGAAAACTCAAAATTAAGAATTTAAAATTTGAGGAAAGTCGCAAGTTGGCCAACTTAGAAGGGTTGCAATTTCTTCGGTCTCTAACGTTGGATTGGGGGAGAAGTGATGATGGAAAGGTGCAAAGAATTGATGAAGTGGGGAGAAGTGATGATGAAGAGGTTCAAGGAACTGATGAAGAGGTGTTAGAAGGTTTAAAGCCACACCCAAATCTTAAGGAAATTAGTGTCAGATCATTTATGGGTGTTAAATTGTGTGATTGGCTTTCCTCGCTCACAAATTTGACTTCAATTAGTATAAAAAAATGTAGAATATGCCAACATATCCCACCATTGGATAAATTTCCTTATCTGAAGAGTTTGTTTCTTAGTCATCTAGATGATTTGGAGTACATTTCAGAGGAAGCAAGTAATGGTTCTTCCACATTATCAATAACATTCTTCCCATCCCTTGGGCAAATCACCCTTTATGATTGTCCTAAATTAAAGGGATGGTGGAGGAAACATGATTATGAAGATATAGAGCTGCCTTCATTTCCTTGTCTTTCCAAATTAGATATCCAAAATTGCCCCAATTTGATATTAATGCCGCTATATCCATCTCTGGAAGAATTAAAATTGCTCCAGACCAGCTCGAAACCGCTGGAGCGGATGATGACGATGACGTTGATGAATAAAGGGGAATCATCAACTTCCTCTTGCTTTTCTGCCCCTCTCTCCAATTTAAAGTCAATGCTTATGATTAAAATTTCTGATCTAGAATCTCTTCCAATGGATGGGATGAAAAAACTGACTTCTCTGGTGGATTTGAAAATTTTGTCATGTCCAAAAATTACTCAAGTGGATCAAGCATTAAAATTTCTCCCCTCTCTCTGAAATTTGACAATTACATCCCATGAAGAACGTGAGCCGGAATGGGAAGGTATTCGTGGTATGGGTCTTCGTCACATACCTCATTTCGTTTGAATTCAGAGGAGAGTTCTTCGTAAACAGGTTGATACTTCTCTTCAAATTTATCAATCGACCTTTCTGATTGTGTTTAACTTATTTCTTATTTCTTGTTTTTGAGTAAATAGTTGTCCTTCTATATATACTAATTAATTCTTTTCTTTCAAATGTCTTCTGTTTCAGTTCGTTGTTATTCTATTTGCAATTCTTTTGCTGCTTCTACAAATATGCAGATGCAAGAATTATCAACTACCTGGGTAATATTTCTTATTCTTTTGTTTACCAAGATGAAGAAAAAATTCAAAGAAATGTGTATATATGTTAATTTATAATATTTTCTGTTATATTTCAAAACGTTTTCTAATTTCCTCATCATTTTAGATAATTTAAATGGTTGTGTACCTTGCAATAGCCAGAGCATTGAATGGAAAGTGGATTTTTAATTAGCCACTACCTGTTTCGTGATTTTAACTCTGTAATTACATAAACGTGCATTTCTTTAATTAATTCAAATGAATTTTAGTTTGTTTAGATTCTCTGACTCGGCATATGAAATCTCAAGGAATGATTTGAATGCTGCTTTTATTTTCACGGTAAAGGTTTGATATAGTACTCTCCCTTTAAATTTTTGCATTTTCTTGTGGGATACTAGCTGAAATTCTCTTTAGTTATCTCTAATGTATAATTAACTCCTTGAAATATACCCAATATACAATAATTTCTTTGAGCTATGTCTAATAGTTAGTGATTATTAATAGAATTTACCCCTAACATCAGTAAGATTAGACACGGTAACGAATTCATTAACGGCAAAGGGTTTGAGGGCGATTAGATATACCTTCAAGGGTGTTTTATACATCAGAAATACTATGCATATTACTGGTTTTTACTAACCAGCCTACAACATGACGTCGCGTCTGACGTGGTGATGCCAATTTATCTGCCACATCAGTCATTTGCCACGCCAAATAGTTTTAAAACAAAATTCCCCAAAAAAAAATTCCGGCTTATGAATTTTTTGCCCAAAAAACCATTTGTGCCCTAATCTCCTTCTCCCCTAAATCGCTAGCCACCATTCCGACACCGAAAATAAACTATGGCACCACCTTTCACTTCACCGACCTCCCTTGACCAAAACCCCTATCATCCCCACTGAAGATCACCCACCAATCACCGGTCACCGCTCATCTAGGGTTCGCACTCTTCAAACCAATTTTCAATCGATTTCGGCATCGAAAATCTACCCCGATGCCACCTTTCACCTCACCGGCCTCCCCTGACAAAAACCCCTATCATCCCCACTGAAGATCACCCACCAATGCAATGTTTGAACTTGTTTTCTGGGCTTGTGATTGTTTCAATTAATTGCAGTGTTTTTTTTTTTGGTTTTTTTTTTTTTTTTTGGTTTACAGCTCCATGGATCGATTCTGTTCGTCAATTGAATCAATCCTTGGTTCCATCAAATGCTAGAACTTCTTTTGGAAAACAATGCTTTGTAAAACCAATTTGTGCATAACTAAGGAGCGACTTGTGGGTTCCTCTTGCAGCTGGTGTGGTTGTTCTAGGCACAGTTAAAATTATGAACCCTGCAAATGCGATTTCTAAAATAAATTGAAGTTGAAAAAATTACATACAACATGTGGAAAATAAGAAACAGGCAGTGGACATTTGATAGATTGTCATAATCTGCACTTAAGAAAATGTTGAAAACCAAATTGAAAAGAAATTTCTTGGCTGAAGGTGGATTTGGTTATGTGCATTGGGGTGTAATTAATTTACTGTAAATGTCTTAAAAAGTGTGTAAATAATTTACTCAAATTGTTTTTCATGTAAACATTTTCTTTCTTAAGAAGAGTCTTGAATTGGTTTTGAAATTTGGACTGTATTGTGTATGGTTATAGTGTGCCTTGAATATACTTTTTGTGGCCAAGCAAGTTAATAGCAGAATTGTATTGATTAATGCTTTTGACTGCAATAATTTCTGGAACCAGAAGTTCATTTCAGAACTTGAGCATTGATTGTCTGCTCATGGATACTTGTAAAAGATTGATGCTTTTCAGTATTTTGTGTGATAGTGAATTGCATATATGCCACGGTTTTGATTGCTATTTATTCATGAATTTATATGGGTTTTGAAGTATATTCATTGATATATATAATTTGCAATATTGTTGAGTAATCTGGCATATCTTGGCTACAATGCTTTTTGGGTCACTTTTGTTGAGCTATAAGTTGGGTTCTAGTTGAAAGAAGTATTATATGTTATAATATGCTGAATTAGTCTTGGTTGATTAAGATATCTCAATGGCATTCAGGTTGCAATTAGAGCTCCTACCACATTATGGCATTTGCTATACATACCATCTGTTTTCCCTGTAATGAAAGTATCAGTGAACCGTGTAGCAGATCTGGACTTATAATTAAAGAAAGGCTTTTAAAGAAGAGGTTGGTCTATTTTCATGGCAAAGTTGTGGTGAAAATTAGGTCCAGTAGCAGAAAGTCGATACACTCCCAGTTGATAAGGTTTTATACTTATGACCTGGGCTCAAGATGTTCATATATGCTCTCAGGCAGAAGAGACAGGGTTTCTTCAATGTCAAGCACTAATGCAAGAATACCTGAGGTGGCTCTTAAATATTATCTACTTCTGATTTCTTCCTCCTTAGTTCCTTAATAATCATAAAGGTTATTTTATTATTCCTTTTCTTGTTTTCTATTTCATTATTTGTTTGATTTCATGTAGGCAAAAGAGGCATTTGAATTTATGGTACAAGCTTTGTCAAATTCTCTAAATGAATGGAGCTGGTTACAGTTGATGAAAGTAGCTGCTGTATTGGCATGCATGTTTTTGATTATTCCATCAGCTGGTGCTGTTGATGCTCTCAAAACATGTACTTGCTTATTGAGGGAGTGTAGGTACTCCATCCTAAATGGCTAAACCGCTTTATGTATTTAGTAATTGGTGTTTACCACTTGATCTTCAAGCCATAGAAACATGATATCCGCACTCCAAGCATAATCTGCTTTTCAATTTCTTGTCAAATAGATTTGAAAGGAATTTAACTGATATAATTCACTCTTCTGTAATTTAGTAAATGTTTAAAACAAACCTTAGGGGATACTGAAGAGTAGCAACTTAAATTTATATTAAATATCTCTCCTTGTCCAGTTAGAACTTTGACCTGGGACTGCATAAAAAGCATTAGTTGTGAGGTTCTGATTAAAAATTGTTCCCTTCTTGTAATCATATGTCTAAGAGAATATCAGTTCCATTGTATGGATGGATTAAAAATTCTCATAGGGTGAATCTGTTGGAATTTGGGAATAAACTTTTTCTTGGGGATTTCATCGTCAAGGGGTTCTTTTTGAAGATTTTATAAAGTAGAGTTGAGTACCTATGCTTTTATAATGCAAAAAAAAAAAAAAAAATGGTGTTGAGAGCTTCCAAAGTTCTCAGCAATTCATAGCATAGCTGAGCTTCTACTTCAACTATATGTTCATTCCTTACCTGGAATTGCCTATGGATTATTTTACCTAGCTTTCATTTTGACATCAAGGTTCCACAGTTAAAAGATCTCTCCTTTGATGTATTTTTATTGAACAGTGATGAAATTATATTCATATTTTCCTCCCCCTACTAGAAACATATCATTGTAGCAATGAAGTTGGTTCTTTTCAACAATGATTATAGGCTTTAATATGGGGTTCTATCAATATAAGCTTGAGTACAAGATATTCGTGGTCATTACTGTAACCATCTATTTTTGTCTGGGTTTGTCTTTTAATAGTGAGCTATTAGGGATTTAAGTGAAACTTTTTGTGCAGCTCTTTTCATAGTGGTTGCTTATTAATTTGGACCGGCAATTATCAAGTTCTTTTCAAGTATCCACTTTTCTGGGTTTTGTAAATACATGTAACTGTAATACCTAATTGCAGTGAGGCATTTGTTGACAGTTCTACATGGAGGAGATAGCTCATCCATTCACAAAACCACATAAATCCTTATGTATTTTGTTGCACTATTTTCTGTTTTATTCCATTGTCAATTTAACAACCAAAAAAAAATAAAAAATAAAACAATTTAGTGGTCAATAAGCAATCGTGTGACATTAGTATCAAGGAGCTATGAGAGGATCAAAAATCATTTGTCTTCTATTTTTCATTAAATATGGCTCCTGAATTTTGCATCATCAGTTTCTTTAGTTATATAATCCTTTTTCTTAACCAAAAAACATTGATTAAAATTAAATTTTTATACATAAGATACCAATATGCAAGCATCATAAAAGAATCATGCAATAGACATGTCTGCTTTCCAATTTGCATCTTTTCTAGCCTAAACACTCCTAATTGAAGGCTGAGACCCAGAAGTAGTTCGTGGAGCAAAATAATTACTAACCCTCGTAGGTTTCTTTCTCTTACTGCTCGTATATTGGTTTTTACAGCCACTACTATCACCTTCATTCATGGTCATTTGTGATGGGAAAACCTCTTCATCTTCTTCATCTAACTTATCACCCTCAAATTCATGTACTGTAGCACCATAAGGAGTTGCATGCTTCCAGAAATCTTATTTTTCCTTATTCTTTACTCCTATTTCTTTTAGTGATTCATTCATATTGAATTTAACATCAAATGGAACCTTTGGGCACTTTCCAATATCCCCTTTACTCCTGCTAGGTGTTGCTTCATTCGAAAAATACCACCACCTCTAGTAACCTTGCCACAATGAAGACAAAATAATATTTTCTTTCCATCTTTATCAACACTCTCAAGAACATGTCCCTATGCTATATCGGTCTTTCCTCGAAAAGATTGTGAGGAAATGGACGTGACTGATGAGTTATGTGCAGACGAAGATGATGACATTCTCTCCCCTAGCAAGTGGCAACCAACAATCAACTTGTTATAATTTATAAGATATAACTTTAAATTAATATAAAATCAACTCATATTATATATATATAGAAACAATTATGAATAAACATACTAAGTACAAAGTACTAGGAGAAAAATCAGAAATTTTATTAAGTTAATTTAGTGATCACAATTCACAGATAATCTAATAGCATTTTACTTTATGGCAGCACGTAAATGAGAAAATTTATGTACTCATCATGGTACTCATGTTGGATTCTCGGTTGCATTTGGATTTTACAATTGAAATGTTTAAATATAAAACTCAATAGCAAACACTTTCTAGATGAATTTAACACTGAAAGACAAAAATAGTTAGTTAACTTTTTCAAATTAAGAATTGTAAAATTTTCTGTTTTAATATTTATTGCTTGTTTTTGCAGGTATGTGCGCCATAGAAGAGGATAACAGGAAAAAAAAAGCTATTGTAATGAGAGTAAAAAAGAGTATCCATGTGTTCCAAGCAAGTTCTAATACGGGCAAGGGCCACTTCAACTCACTAGAAATGAAAATTATGGAGCTGCAGAATCTCTATTTCTAAGTTCTTAATTTCATCGCTAGATTGATCTACTGGCATGATGAATAATTAATGGACTCTTAATTTGATGAATATTTTTCATTTTACATCGCATCTTCTTGATGTAAAAATTCCCCCTTTCAGTTACTCTATTAATGTAATGAAGTTTCACGGTGAAACTTTCACCATCAATTTCTAATTTCCCATGAGAAATTACTTTTTAGAGTTTCAGAAATTCAATTGACAAATGACAGATTCACAATAAGAAATTAGTTTTAAGAGTTTCAGAAATTCAATTGACAGATTCACATCACAATAATACAATATCATGATATGAAATAAAAGATAGAGAAAGATAGGATGACTCTTACAACAGTTTGTTACTTGGTCAATGGTAGACAGTAACTCGCAGATGGCGGCAGACGGCAGTAAATGTGAACGCTGAAGTCTGAACTGAAGTTGAAGTCCTGACTCACGAATCTGGCAGACCAACGATGACAAGGAAGAAGCAAACTTTTAGATGGCGACTGTGATGATTGAAGAAGTTGAAGACTTGAAGTCTTGAAAACTCTGAACTGAAGTTGAAGTCACGAGTGACGAGTGACGAGACTATAGTGTAGCAGACCAGCCATGACAAGGAAGAAGTAGAGTAGCAGACTTTTAGATGGCGACCGCGATGATTGAAGAGGTTGAAGACTTGAAGCTGAAGCCTGAAGAAGATCGCAAATGGAGGAGGAGGAGGATTGGATTGGAGGAGGCAAACCAAAAAGCAAATAGCCAAACACAATCTCTGAATTGCAAAAAGCAAATAAAAATGGGTTAAAAAAATTGGATTTAGTTTAGGGTTTTGTTAGTAGACAGAATTGGGTGTGGGACTGAATTTGGGTGTTGCACCGGTTGAACTGTTGGTTTGCTACAGTAAGACGGTCCGATAACAGTTTGAAGCGATCTAACGTTAATCCCCGTTTTTTTACTTCTTTTGAACCAATAATCTCACCAAAACCTAGTCGGACCAGTTCGACTGCCCGGTCCGGTCTGGGTTTCAGAACTTTGATTTCCACTATGGGTTCAAAGACAAAGCCTAGTGGCAGATTTAGGTTTTAGTAAAGCTTGGACAAGGATTTGAAACCCTAGAGTCATAACTATACTATATTTTACATTTGTTCAAAACAAAAAAATGTAGCAAAATATAAAATAAATTTCTTTAGAAATTAATACTAAGCTACGTAGGGGACTGATATGGACATATTTATAAGATGGGCTTTTATTCGTTAATTTTAGGCTATTTCTCTAAATAGTAAATTCACGTGGTCTGCTCAATGCATTCTAAAAGCACAAGTGTCTTTACCTTAAAGTTTCCATTTTAATGACTTGAGAGTCAGCATTCCCCATTGAGGCAAACAACACAACAACCTTAACTACATAAAGTAGGGGTCAGCAGATCCATGTATCTGGCCCAAATCCTATGACCGGGTTTCAAAACTAGAATCGGCCGAGTTCTTTAGTTGATCAGTCCGAGTGGTCAGTCCGAGTGGTTGGATAAGTAGACCAGATCGGTGTACAGTAAACACAAATTTGATAAATTACGCATTTATCCCTGTAAGTTTGAAATACAACAAACAAACCTCTAAAAAGTTCAATAAGTCTCTACATGTTTGAAATCTAGCAAACATACCCCTGCAACAGTGCAACTTTTATACCTTTTTTTTTTCGCTTTCTCTATGTCACTTTTTTCTTTCTTTTATCACTTTTCGCTCTCTCTTTTGTGACTTTCTTCTTCCTTCCCCAATTCTTCGTCTTTGACTTCTTCACTTCATCCTCTTCCTTCTTTTCTCCTTTCCCTCCCCTTTACTTTACTTGATGGCCAAGAAGGCCCTAGCCGCCACAATCTAGCCAAACGAGATTCAAATATGACTGGTCAAATCAAAGTTGGAGAATCCTTGTAAATAAGATGAAGTCGTTGATGCTCCCAAGTCAATGAAATCCTTGTAAATAAGATAGCTTAGAGCTGGAGGATCCTCGGATGTCGATAAAGAGACAAGAAAAATCAAATGGCTTAAAATAAATCGAAAGGGTAGGGATAGACGATCAATAAGCATGGGATTGATTTAGATCTATTATAATCATACACAGAAAGGGAGACTAGAAAAGGTTAACTATGGTTATAGAATTATGGTTTTGTGGAAAGAAAGCTAAGGAAACATTTGGGGCGTCAGAAAGTGGTTTGAAGGGAATTTTAGGGATTTAGGGTTTATGACCTAGTTTTGTCACCAGGTTAGTTAGGCTAGCTGTTCGCTATTGTTTCACCAGTCTAACCATGGGTCAAAGCGGGTTAATTGCTAAAAACGGTTTTCTAGTGTAACCGGCCTAACTAAGCCCCCGGTTCCCTGTTCGACTGGTCGAACCGGCCAAGCCAGTCTAGGCTTTAGAGCACTGGTAATCATAAGACAAAGTTCTAGATTATAGAGAGCAAAAATAGTATTTATAGGAAACTATCTAAAAAAACCTTCTAATTGTAATTGATACATAAAGCAAAACTTGGCATAGCAAAAGGAATAGCAGTCTTTTAAGCAGTTTGTCCATGTCAATAGGGAAAAAAGAATCTTGTTGATAGAACATATTACCATCATGCCAATGTACACTAGAATTGGAGTGACCTTTTCGAAAGGATGAACATCCTACACACATAAGATTTTCAAACATAATTAATATTCATTTAAGATATGCAGAGAGAATTGAGAACATATGTTAGAAGTGTAGGACTATCTAAAACCTGAAAGCAGAATGCCAATGCTGTTATGATCAAACTTAAGCACATTCCAGTAGTAAAAGCCTGCAATCATAAATGAGCAGTGCTATGCTTACAACAGAGTTATACAATCAGACAAAAAACAAAAGATAAAATTTTTGTCTGGTTGTATGATTCAATCGTAAGCAAAACATTATTGATCATAAAATACATTTACCATTGTTATGCCTGAAAAATATAGGGCTGATGCAAGACTCAGTCAACATCAAAAGTCAGAGCTTAGGTAGGCCCGCGAGCTGACGTGAGCAGCACACTCCTGTCAGTAAAGTGGGTGCGTGCCAGACCAGCCAGAAGCCATAGTGACTCCACGTGTCCAATCCCTGCACCAAATCGCATAAATCACTCTAGAAGGTGGGCAATGGGACATAAAGAAGGATTTGCACGGATAATCCCACCAACTCACAAATTTAGTAATGATAGCCTTAATCCATCCCACTATAAATTGAGGGCTTTTCTCTTAATTGGGGGATTTGCTCATTATACTTTTGATTAGCTACCCTCTCTCGAAAATATATAGTATTCTCTCTCTTGTACAATCATTTGTAAGCCAGTCCGCTAACGCGACCTGACCTCTATCATTAATACGAAAATCAGTGGATGTAGGATTCGCTTCCTTAGCATCCGAACCACTTTAACACTGTTTTCCATTGCATTTACTCTCATTTTCACATTCACGTGTTTCTTTTGGGCCTGCTCAGCATTTCACACGTGCGTTTGGTTGATGTCAAAATCACGCATCAACAGTTTGGCGCTAGAAGGAGGGCTTGATTTAGTATTCATCCTTTATCAGGAGAATCTCTAACTTACTGGTCCTACAACAGCAAATGGCCCGCCGACTCGAACCTGAGCGAACCAATCAGGGTGCTCAGGAGATCCCCCAAATGCAGGAGGATACCTCTCTTAGGGTACCTTCGGCTTCGTAAAATGCTGTGAGGGATATCCCGTCGAGTTCACTACTTGACCCTGCCATCAGAAGCTACCTGGAGAGGTTCAGCAATACTCTTTATATGGTCAACTGAAGGTTAGACCGTTTGGACACGGGCGTGCTACCTTAATCAGCTGGGGAGGTGCAACTGCCAAAAACACCTGCAGGTCATGCAAAAGCACAGCAAAAGGTGATAGCCCGTGCTGCGAGCACTGCAGCGCGTTGAAGAAAGGGTAAGCAAGTGGCAAAAAATGGGCCTAAGGGCTCCAAAGGGTCGGTGAACATCGATCATGTCCCGAGTGGAATACCCATGGCGTTAAGACTCGGTGAAAAGTCACAAGCCAAGCCGTCCCATGCCACATCACATGGAAACCCCCATAAAAGTGCTGGGCGGGGCGATTCTCATCACTGCCAGAAAAGCAACCCCGATCATAGTCATGCAGGAGGTCCCCACACTCTGCGGGGCGGTTCTTACCACCGCGGAGGTCGTGAAAGTTCCCTGCATCATTCATTGCCATCACACGGCTCTAGCCAGTGTGGGCAAAGTGGAATCCGACCTTTGGACTTTTCTCAACCGCAACTGTGAAGGTCGGACTCGCATGGGAGAAAACAATCCCTAGATAGCTCTACTGCCTTAGATTGAAGAGTTGCAGCCAGCTCTAGACCGGCCAAGAGCTCAGCAAAATGGGCAAGGGTAGGTCGCGTTAGCGTCTCCCTTTTCTCCGGCAGTGTTAGCCGCCCCTCTCCCATCAAGATTTAGAATGCTTGACATTCGGGCGTTCGATGGAAATTCTGATCCGCAGGATCACTTATATGAATTCAACGACCTGATGGAGCTTCAGCAGGTCTCAGATTTGGCAAAGTGCCGTTGTTTGGCAGTAACTCTAACCTCTCATGCCAAATGATGGTTTAGGTCGCTTTAAGTGGGATCGATCAGTTCGTGGCCTCAAATAAGCGCGACAGTCCTGAGACACTTCTAAGCGAACCGAAAGTTCTCAATGCCTTTAAGCTATCTCAACAACATAAGGCAAGAGAGGGATGAATCCCTCCAGTCTTACATTGATCGATTCCACCGAGAACTGAATAAAGTAGCTCACACTCCCGAAGAGTCTGTTTGGACTCTCATCATAGCAGGAGTTCACCCATAGTCCGACATGTGGAAAGAGCTACAGGCTGAGGATGATGTTTCCCTCACCCGCTTCTATAACCTTGCAGAGAAGTACCTCCGAATTGAAAATTTCATGGCAGCGCTCCACCGCTGCAAACCCGACGCTTCAAGTAGCGCATCTG